CATATTTTACATATTTTTACCACCCTTGTCTCTTTTTTGGAGGAAACTTTATTGCATGTGATTTAAATATTTTATTACTTTATTAGTAGTATGTAATTACATTACTCTCTTTTTATTACTAGCCTCTGCATGAAAGGCGGAGAGTAGTTGAGCTGCATCACCCATCCATTGTGACACTTTATGAGGATACAGCAGACGCCTTAGGACCAGTAATTTCCCCAAACAAGATTCCCTCCTGGATTTACGATAACGAAGAGTCCAGTCAAGGAGCAAGTCCAGAGGTTGAAGGTAAATCAGAAACTATAGCTGAGCGGCAAATTGTTCTGAATTAATTTTTAGCTCACCTAGCCAAAATGAGCTTATTGTAAAGCAGACCTGTTATGAGTCATCCTTCAATCAGTAATGGCTGCTTAATATACTGGAAATTCATAATTCTGATCTGATTTGAAAAAAACTTGGAATACATGCTTATATCTTCAGAATATTGGATGAAGTTAATAATGGGTGCTATCCATTTATGGTTAATAAGAAAGGTTTACAAGTGATTGGCCAAACATATTACTACTCTGGCAGCTATATGGCTGATCAATATTTGAATATATCATCAAGACACTGGATGATAATGAGCAAGATCCATGCATTTTAATGAAGTGATCTTACTGGATTGGCTGAGCTTCATTCCACTCTGAGACAATATTTCTGAGTTTTGATCAAACTTGGAATTTAGCCTTAACTTATGGGATCAAGATTTCACTTCTTCAGTAATGAGCTAAGTCAATGCATATTAGTTGGTCAATTTTATATCAGATTGCTTGAACTTCATTCCATTCTTTGAACTGTATTTCTGATCCAATTTTTAGCAGTCTTGGTAAATAGACTTAAATACCGGTAATCAAGATGTGAGATGGGTATATAGATGAAGTTGGTAAAAATTTGTGAGCAGTGGATATCATGATACTAATACTATTAATAATAATAATGATTTTATTTAAAGAGTTTACACTATCAGTTAAATCCTTGTGACCATCTATTATTTGCATATTTACATGCATAGTACATTTGCATATTTACATGCATAGTATGTTTGCATAATTACATGCATGGTACATTTGCATAATTACATGCATAGTACATTTGCATATTTACATGCATAGTATATTTGCATAATTACATGCATGGTACATTTGCATAATTACATGCGTAGTACATTTGCATATTTACATGCATAGTATATTTGCATAATTACATGCATAGTACAGTTGCATAATTACATGCATAGTACATTTGCATATTTATATGCATAGTACATTTGCATATTTACATGCATAGTACATTTGCATATTTACATGCATAGTACATTTGCATAATTACATGCATAGTACATTTGCATATTTACATGCATAGTACATTTGCATATTTACATGCATAGTACATTTGCATAATTACAGGCATAGTACATTTGCATATTTACATGCATAGTACATTTGCATATTTACATGCATAGTACATTTGCATAATTACATGCATAGTACATTTGCATATTTACATGCATAGTACATTTGCATATTTACATGCATAGTACATTTGCATATTTACATGCATAGTACACAGCTGCAAGCAAGATACAGAAAGGTACATACAACTCTTAATTCTTGCAAGAGAAAACAAAACTGTGCAGCAGTACACAAGTTTATACCAACAAAAATTCCCAATTAAACATTAAATGTAATAATAAGCTATATTTATATATAGACATTATAAACAGACAATCTTATAAGAACATGCTCCAATTAGGGGTAAATTTTGTATATTCAGTACAAAATGGTGAGACAACAAAGTGGGAGGTTAGTGACTTTATACTTAAAGTTGTAATGTATTTGTCAAATCAAACGTGTTCCACTTAGATCATGATGCATTTATATTTGCACTTTCTCTAATATCCTTTGAGATTTTGTTGCAAATTAGCAACTCCAAATGCTGAAAACATTTGCTTTAAAATAGAAAGATGGTTTGCTGAAAATGATCTTAAATTGGGAGTGTTGTTTTCTAGCATGAAATATTTGCTTGAGATATAAATGAAGCCATATTGTTTTAAACTTTGAACAGCAGTTTAGCCTTTCCCAAAAAATATTTGTTCAATTACTATTGACATATATTTTCAGCATTATCTTTGATGAGTATACAAATGCATTTGTGCTGGCAGAATTGTTTGCAAAAAAGTATTCTTGTCAGAAGCATATTTCCAGATAACATGAAAAGGTACACACATTGAATTATACAAGGCACATGAATAAGCAGGTATTCACTTAATTGTTATATGCTCATGAAACTATGGTAAGAAGAGCTAAAATTCTAAATATAGATTGACTAAGATCATCATCATCTATCTATTTTAGTTTTGTGTTTTAGCTAAATAAAATTCCACAGATTCAAAGATTGGTTGTCTTGGAGTCTCCTTTGCTTATAATCGTAAGATTTTTTCCTTTGTTTTCCGACAGCAATCCAGGCCAGTTAATTGTTCCTGAGATTGGCTTGGGCTAAGAGGGAATTTTGTCTGATATCTTAACCAGTACTTTGATGTGTTATTTCCTTTTACTCCATAATATTTACTGTAGCTGTGTAAAATTGGGTGTATAGTTGCTTACATCAAAGCAAACTGAAATTGAGTTTTTATGGTATTACAACTATTTTAAAAAATAACATTATTTCTGAAAATTTATTTTTGCATTTTGGAAATATATTATTTAAGTTTAATGCAGAGGTACCCATGATTTAAATCCAAGGGAAGTTGTTCTTTCAGCAGAATGTACTTCATTCAATGCATGTTCAGGCCATCAATGTACATGTGATTACGCCATTATGTAAATATGCTCAATATCATTGAACCAAACCCTATTATTGTTCATTTTTGTCATACTGTGATCACATTTATTGAGTTAGGTATTGATAACATCAAAGCAAAATAAAATGTAATTACTGCCACATTGATACAAAAATCTAATGCAAGAACATGTAAACACAATTCGTAACTAGATTTAAAAGGGAGAGGTACTTTTATATAGCAGCTTGTTAATGCTCAGTTCATGTCATCATCCAATTAAATTATACAGAAATCTGAATTAGGCAGAAATAACAACAAAACAGAACATTAAATACATTTTTTTTTACTTTTCAAGCAAATTATATTAATTTGTAACATTTCCATGTAATGATCATACATGACAAACCCAAGATACATGTAATTTTTGTTAATATAAATTTAGCTAAATAAATGCATGTAGAACTTACGATATGCAGCTTGTGATGTTGTCATGGATATATGGGTCAGCTTATGCACAGATCATGCACTTTTTAATTTTTTTATGTATTCAGTTTGATTGGCTTATATGCATATGCACTTATATGCGAGTATATATGCTAAACCAGACATGAATTGACTATATGACATATGACTTGAAGAGATTCATTCCCTTGTATATTGTTGTCAAACAAGGATTTTGTCATGACTAACCATTTGTTAACAAATTAGGATTCAAATTTTTTTCCAGTTAGCTCTTTTTTATTTGGTAGTAATCATGAATACTTTAGTCTAGCCTGTGTTTACTTTCATGCCATTATTTTTTCTTAAGCTTTCAGTTTTGTGTATAATTAACATTTTCACCCTAATGTGTGCTTGGCAGGTGCACTTTAAAGATCAATAAAATCATGTGAGATATGCAATATAAAAAAGCAGTTGTTCCCACCAATCATTATATTTTAATTTGCACTAATGATTATGGATTCATATTCATATTCTGAACCGCATGTTTGATAGTTGTTGAATTTTTAACTCGGAATAAATGTTAATACTGCTTATAGTACTGTTAATAAAGCAATTGGTCTATGAAAACTGTTATGGTAAAGTTATACAAACCTTTTAAAAATTTGGCTTTGTGGCTGCTGCCAGAGACAATATATGATTGCTCAACTCATCTGACTCCAGGATGCCAGACTTTATAGGATTCAGCATTGACGGCACTGGTACCAATGAGTCATCCTCTGGGAAAAGAACAAAACATTGTATCTAAAGTCAAGTCAGTTGGTGACAAATGACCAAGACACTATAAGGGCATATAACTCTTATATGCATCATATAAGGGCATATAACTTTTTCATGCAACATGTTGTGTACAGTCAGTCAATTAGCCAGGTTGTTTTAGCAACCAGGAAAAGATTGTTTAAGACTGAACTTTATTGAATTTAATAAACTGAAGTCTGGAAATGCACCATTTCATGCAGTTTCTGAAATTCTGAAGTACAATTATAATGGAACTGCTTTTCTACAAATGACCTTGATCATAATTGATGATGCTAAAATGGCTAAAGTTCAACTGAAATGGAACCCCAATATTAACTCACAAGTCTTTGGGACTGCCAAAGTTGAACTAAAATGGAACCCCAATATTAACTCACAGGTATGGGAGACTGCTAAAGTTAAACTGAAATGGAACCCCAATATTAACTCTGGGAGACTGAAACGTAAGAGCATATGCTACTAAAAAGAAATGTGTGACACTGAACATTTGGTGAAAGTTTCAATTATGACCATAGCCAAACTTGATTATCTTGTAAAAACAAAAGTTGTGACATTACTGCAAACCAAAATATTTTTGCCTGTGCAATCAGTGCATTCCAGTGTCTTATAATCATTCGTCTTGATAGCAGAAGAAATGAATGCTAGATTAGACTTCATCTCCAGTGAGATGATGTGGTGGGTGTGGGTTGGCATGTGTGTATTTGTGTGTGTGTGTGTGATTTAGATTTTTAACATAGATATGATATCTGCATTGGAGCAGTTTATAGTGATGTCTAGCACTGGGGCATCATGCTGCAGACATGTAGCATGATGCTTCATGCAGTCACATTATCCTGACACCAAACCAACCAGTTCTAACACTAACCTCTTAATACTGAGTGCCAAGCAAGGCAGCTGTTAGTACCATTTTTGTAAGTCTTTGGTATGACTCAGTCGGAAATCAAACCCATGACATCCCACATCCAAGGCAGAGGCTCTAACCACTAGGCCACTGGAGCAGTTGAGATGACTATGTGTGTAATTTCCAGGCATTAACCCCAACAGGTGCTATGGGTGAATAGTGTTTAACATATTTTACCCATAAAATAACCCTAAACAATATGGCCACATAGATTTTATGCATAAAATAACCCCAAACAATATGGCCACATATATTTTACCCATTAAATAACCCCAAACAATATGGCCACATAGATTTTACCCATAAAAAAAACCCCAAACAATATGGCTACATAGATTTTACCCATAAAATAACCCCAAACAATATGGCCACATATATTTTACCCATAAAATAACCCCAAACAATATGGCCACATAGATTTTACCCATAAAATAACCCTAAACAATATGGCTACATAGATTTTACCCATACAATAACCCCAAACAATATGGCCACATAGATTTTACCCATAAAATAACCCTAAACAATGTGGTCACATAGATTTTACCCATAAAATAACCCCAAATGATATGGCCACATAGATTTTACCCATAAAATAACCCCAAACAATATGGCCACATAGATTTTACCCATAAAATAACCCCAAACAATATGGCCACATATATTTTACCCATAAAATAACCCCAAACAATATGGCTACATAGACTTTACCCATAAAATAACCCTAAACAATATGGCTACATAGATTTTACCCATAAAATAACCCCAAACAATATGGCCATATAGATTTTACCCATAAAATAACCCTAAACAATGTGGTCACATAGATTTTACCCATAAAATAACCCCAAACAATATGGCCACATAGATTTTACCCATAAAATAACCCCAAACAATATGGCAACATAGATTTTACCCATAAAATAACCCCAAACAATATGGTCACATAGATTTTACCCATAAAATAACCCCAAACCATATGGCCACATAGATTTTACCCATAAAATAACCCCAAATGATTTGGCCACAGATTTTACCCATAAAATAACCCCAAATGATATGGCCACATAGATTTTACCCATAAAATAACCTCAAACAATATGGCCACATGGATTTTACCCATAAAATAACCCTAAACAATGTGGCCACATAGATCTTACCCATAAAATAGCCCCAAATGATATGGCCACATAGATTTTACCCATAAAATAACCTCAAACAATATGGCCACATCTATTTTACCCATAAAATAACCCCAAATGATATGGCCACATAGATTTTACCCATAAAATAACCCTAAATGATATGGCCACATAGATTTTACCCATAAAAAGCCACAACCAATATGGCCACATAGATTTTACCCATAAAATAACCCCAAACAATATGGCCACATGGATTTTACCCATAAAATAACCCTAAACAATGTGGCCACATAGATTTTACCCATAAAATAACCCCAAACCATATGGCCACATAGATTTTACCCATAAATTAACCCCAAACAATATGGCCACATAGATTTTACCCATAAAATAACCCGAAATGAAATGGCAACATAGATTTTATCCATAAAATAACCCCAAACAATATGGCCACATAGATTTTACCCATAAAATAACCACAAACAATATGGCCACATGGATTTTACCCATAAAATAACCCCAAACAATGTGGCCATATAGATTTTACCCATAAAATAACCCCAAACCATATGGCCACATAGATTTTACCCATAAATTAACCCCAAACAATATGGCCACATAGATTTTACCCATAAAATAACCCGAAATGAAATGGCAACATAGATTTTATCCATAAAATAACCCCAAACAATATGGCCACATAGATTTTACCCATAAAGTAACCCCGAACAATATGGCCACATAGATTTTACCCATAAAATAACCTCAAACAATATGGCAACATAGATTTTACCCATAAAATAACCCCAAACAATATGGCCACATAGATTTTACCCATAAAATAACCCCAAATGATATGGCCACATAGATTTTACCCATAAAATAACTCCAAACAATATGGCCACATAGATTTTACCCATAAAATAACCCCAAACAATATGGCCACATAGATTTTACCCATAAAATAACCCTAAATGATATGGCCACATAGATTTTACCCATAAAAAAACCACAAACAATATGGCCACATAGATTTTACCCATAAAATAACCACAAACAATATGGCCACATGGATTTTACCCATAAAATAACCCCAAACAATGTGGCCATATAGATTTTACCCATAAAATAACCCCAAACCATATGGCCACATAGATTTTACCCATAAATTAACCCCAAACAATATGGCCACATAGATTTTACCCATAAAATAACCCGAAATGAAATGGCAACATAGATTTTATCCATAAAATAACCCCAAACAATATGGCCACATAGATTTTACCCATAAAGTAACCCCGAACAATATGGCCACATAGATTTTACCCATAAAATAACCTCAAACAATATGGCAACATAGATTTTACCCATAAAATAACCCCAAACAATATGGCCACATAGATTTTACCCATAAAATAACCCCAAATGATATGGCCACATAGATTTTACCCATAAAATAACTCCAAACAATATGGCCACATAGATTTTACCCATAAAATAACCCCAAACAATATGGCCACATAGATTTTACCCATAAAATAACCACAAACAATATGGCCACATTGATTTTACCCATAAAATAACCCCAAATGATATGGCCACATGGATTTTACCCATAAAATAACCCCAAACAATATGGTCACATAGATTTTACCCATAAAATAACCCCAAATGATATGGCCACATAGATTTTACCCATAAAATAACCCCAAACAATATGGCCACATAGATTTTACCCATAAAATAACCCCAAACAATATGGCCATATAGATTTTACCCATAAAATAACGTCAAATGATATGGCCACATTGATGCAACTCGTTGCTGGGGTGGGGTTGAGAATGCAGCTGGATCAGAATGCAAGGGAAAAAGTGGACAGTTAATTTCATGCATGACTAAATATGTACATGTATTAAGACATAACAGTGGCCAAGATCTGCTTATTGGATTTTTCAATGATTTAGAAAATTAAATGCATCAAAATTTCTGAAGAATAAAAACTTCTGGTATAAATATAGCAGATGAAATGTTATGGAAAAGAGCTCGCTTTATTTTGTGTCAGATATGGCGGTTGTTTATACCCAGATTCCTTGTGTTTTGAATGTCTCTGTGACAATTTGTTGTACAAGCTGTCCCATTGATAGTTTTATGTGAGCTTTAGAAAATGATTCTTTACTGTTTACACATGCTATATATAATGGGTATATACTTAAGTGGTGTTGTTTTTTTATTCCAGAGATTACTGAAAATCATGTTTATTGAAACAAAACCATGTTAGGGGAGTTTGGGGTTAAAAAATAGTGTTTTTTGATTGGCAAGTTTTGTTATGGCAGGTATGTAATGAAATACAACAAGTTGTTATTTGTAATGAAATACAGCAAGTTGTGTTATGGCAGGTATGTAATGAAATACAAGTTGTGTTATGTGATGAAATACAACAAGTTGTGTTATGTAATGAAATACAACAAGTTGTGTTATGGCAGATATGTATAGAAATACAAGTTGTGTTATGTAATGAAATACAAGTTGTGTTATGTAATGGAATGCAATTGCCTGTTGTCAGAAGCAGATCATTTATAAAAATGAGAAAGAGGAGTGGACCCAGGATTGATCCCTGTGGTCCTGCACATGATATTGGTTCATCTTAAGACAAAAAATTATATTAATTTTGACACATTGTTTTCCCTTTCTTAGACAGGCTGTAAAGCAATCAATTATGAATTGTCCATTATTGTTCATTTGACTGATAAGCAGCATTAGCAGTCAGGTCAAAAGCTATTCTAAGATCAGTAAGTATAGATCCACCTAATTTTTTACATATAGAGCAGTAATCCATCTGTCCATCAATGGAGACCAAGGCTGTCTTACATGAGTGGATTTCTCTGAACCCTGATTGGACTGTCCATCAATGGAAACCAAGGCTGTCTTACATGAGTCAATTTCTCTGAACCCTGATTGGACTGTCCATGAATGGAGACCAAGGCTGTCTTACATGAGTGGATTTCTCTGAACCCTGATTGGACTGTCTATTAAAGGAGACCAAGGCTTTCTTACATGAGTGGATTTCTCTGAACCCTGATTGGACTGTCCATCAATGGAGACCAAGGCAGTCTTACATGAGTGGATTTCTCTGAACCCTGATTGGACTGTCCATCAATGGAGACCAAGGCTGTCTTACATGAGTGGATTTCTCTGAACCCTGATTGGACTGTCCATCAATGGAGACCAAGGCTGTCTTACATGAGTGGATTTCTCTGAACCCTGATTGGACTGTCCATCAATGGAGACCAAGGCTGTCTTACATGAGTGGATTTCTCTGAACCCTGATTGGACTATCCATCAATGGAGACCAAGGCTCTCTTACATGAGTCCAGGATTTCTCTGAACCCTGATTGGACTGTCCATCAATGGAAACCAAGGCTTTCTTACCTGAGTGGATTTCTCTGAACCCTGATTGGACTGTCCATCAATGGAGACCAAGGCAGTCTTACATGAGTGGATTTCTCTGAACCCTGATTGGACTGTCCATCAATGGAGACCAAGGCTGTCTTACATGAGTGGATTTCTCTGAACCCTGATTGGTTTTGGTGAATTAGGTTATAAATTGGTGGATTATCAAAAGATTTATTGTGAAAAATTTTTTAAGACATATTGACTGTATTGGAAAGATAGATATAGTTATTGACATCATCTTTTGCTACCAGACTTAGAAATGAGGGAAGCATTTGCCAATTTTCAGGGGAAACATTCAAGTGGATATGCTTATTAATAAGCATGTCAGTCAGATATTATATTTAGAATAAACTCAGTATTATCTAGGCCTGTCACTTTTGTTTTCCAAATTGTTTACCATAATTTTACAGTTTTTCCCTTGATATTGTAGTTATTGGTTCAACATGATTCAGAGTTACAAAGGGTTTCTTAATTTTGGAAGCTATATTAAGAAAATTCA